GTTACATAACTGAGTTTTCAAAGCATCAAAATTTTACTGCTAACTGGTGTTTCAGCTTACTGAAAGATATATCAGAATGATCTGGAATTTCGGTTTATCTCGATGTATAACCTATATGTTTTTCATTTACATGGTGGTATTTAGAAGAATCGACAAATCACGTATGGGCATTGAAATATTCGACAAGCCCTTCAACAAGGGTATTATGGTCTTTTTACTTGCAACAAACGTATCTTGTTAATCATGTGTCGATTATTACATGTATATATAAAGTTTGTTGAGCAATATCTTGAACTCTGCTACAAGTAATAGCTGTTTTAGGAGATGTCAGGAGACAAATGACAGATAGCAGTATGGACATGTTCAATTTATACATATGTATAAACGGAAATACACATGTACATACTCGTATTGACATACAGGGGTTTGGATTCACGTGAGACCAACTTATTTTCGTAAGACCACTTTTTTATACTTGAAATTCACAGCAAAACTTTTTTTTTACCTTCACAACATTTTGCTATGAAGTTTCAAGTATAAAAAAAGTGGTGTCACGGATCTCACGAAAACAAATTGGTCTCATGTGAACCCAAACCGCCATACAGATGTGTATATATGTTCAAGATTTTAACATCTTAGAAGCAATTACCACATTAAATATGACTATAAAAAGTATATTATTAAAATAATATTTAATTGGTTTAAATAAATAACTAAAAATCCGTAAGTATTTAATACAGACCGTGTGCTAGTTTCGACCGCTTTAACACGTTAGATGTAAAATATAACCCCCGTAACAGTTTATTAGGAAAATACGTTAAAAGTGCGATCGCTGTTACATGGGGAGGCGAGATAGACGGTCAATTTATGCATATTGATAAAACAAGATTCAGATAAGATCAACTAACATGAATGTGATATATAACCTTACTAAATGGATCGACATTTGACGTATGACTCAGATAATTTAAATACGATCAGTAGATGTGTATTGACCAGTTCCCATTCCTGTATGGACTCTCTGTTGTCAATCTCGATGTAAAATTTGACTGAAGTGGAAAATAGAAAATTAATAGGAATTTTCATTTAAAAAAAACCCGAAATTTGTGAAGTATTATGTCGTATTAGTAGAGCTCAATGCTAATCCTGTATTTGAACGTGTTTATCAGTTAATTGTATGGAATTCAAATAGGGCAAATTGCATTAAAAAGTAATGTACTTTAATTTGATTCTTATATTGGGTAATGTGCTTTCGAAACTTCAATTTTGGTATCTAAGATGTAAAGTTTTAAACATTTAAATACTCGGATAACCGGTTGAAGACTAATTTTAGATTAAAAAAATGCATGTCATTAACTATGCCAGGAAATTATATTGAGTTGGATACCATATCACTCGCCACATCAACATGATAACCTATTAATGCTTCAACCGGTTACTCAAGTACTTAAATGTTTAAAACTTTATATCTTAGGTATTAAAATGGACATTATGAAAGTACGTTACCCATGATAGGAATCAAGTTAAAGTACGTTATCAACCACAAGGGTGGTGCCTGATTGGTTTGAGCTTGGCTCCAAATGTCAAAAGTACATGGAGATCTCAGGTTCAAATCTAAGGAGGAACAAATATCACCTTGTGGCCATGGAGGTTAGAATGCGGTGACTTCGGACTATATGCAAGGCAGGTGGTCGCCCTGGGATTAGTCGGCTCGCATAACGGATTGGATATCCAGGTTAAAAAAAGAAGAAGTTAAAGTACATTATTTTTTCATTCAATTTGCCATATTCAAATATGAAGTAATAAGAAGTAATATGTATTTATTAATAAATTACAAAATCTAATTTTAATAATTATTTTAATTTAATATTTTATAATATTAATATAATATTAATATAAATAGTATTTTTAT